CCTTCAGAAAAGGTGTTACTGGGCATGCCTCATAAGTATTGAGTTTCAGGAAATTCTGAACAGATTCCACTATTTGGGATCAATTATTCAAGCCATGATGGGGAAAAGAAATCAATAGCAATGATGAAAGTAAGAGCTGCTACAAACATCCCTAATGAATGTGGTGAAAAGATACCAATCAATTGATGGTGCTTTCACTCACACCGATAAGCTTTCATAATAAGTGATTCCCTAATCTCTACTTTGAATAGATGCCAGATGATCCTGCAACACATTGCTTTTGGTTTTTGAATAAGCCAAATTCTAAACATATATTTCTTTGATATTCAATTTGTTGGCAAACACCCCAATAAGTACAAGCATAATCCCAACTTACATGCCAAAATTCATCATTTTGTGATGCCTTCCAATATATATACAATCTAAAAAAACAAGATGATATCCATGTTAACAACAGAAGTCAAACATGTGATAGTCACTCTATTATGATACCTCAGACCTATTTTAGCATGTCTGATACTAACATTATATTTGACAGGGTAGAATGCTCGATACTTCAGAACTCCTAGAAAACATTTCCAATTCAGAAAACACTAGACAGCGCCTAGGCAGCTGGGGGGTCCAAGCCACCCAATGCCTAGGTGGGGCGCCCAGAACCTGGGTGGCCCAGTAGAAAGAAAAATGTCTCTATAGTCTAATAATATAAGTATCATTGTATAATACATAAGAGTTAGGGACTTAGGGCACATCAAATGTATTGTACACAAGTTCATAGAGCACACTCCTCTCCATACTCCATAAGTCCATATCCAATCACCCATAGTTTGATAATCCATACTCCACACATAGTTAAAACTTAAAATATACCAACCAAAGTTACCAAACCGATGAACCATAAATCGACAATACACAACCAAGAGGAGGAAAACAAAAATAAAAGAAATATAGTATATAGATAGACTAAATCTATATCAATGGGTGATGCTTAGATCAATTTCTCGTAACTTTGAGAAATCCTTCGATCCTATGGAAATCGCTAAAAACTAGTCTTTTTGGATTTTTCTCTCACTAAAATAGGCTTTAATGGGGTTTAAAATTCAAATGAACCTAAAACCCACAATTTTTCCCCTTTCATATTAAAAACAGCACCACAAAATGCCCTCAACGAGGGGCATTTCCGCCCTTGGACAGGGCACATGCCCTAGGCGGCCGCCTAGGGACAGCTAGCCTAATTTGGCCGTGGCCTGGCCGATGCGCCCAGGTCTTCTAGACCGCCTAGGCTCTAGGCGGTTCGCTTTTTAAAACAATGTTTCCAACTAGTGTTGCCACCATGTATGAAGTTCTTTTTTGTGTCAAAGACAAGGCCATGAGAATTTGGCCAACTACAAGTGTTCAAAAATTTTGGACATCCATATCTGAATTGCAGACATGCATGCCCATTATAGACAAATGAGTAGAATTACAGAAATGTGTACAAAATCTTCAAATTTTTGTATCAATTCTATACCTAACTATGTTTTATTTTTAGCAATCTATACTATGCCTCAAACACATTTTGGAGTATCCAACACCTACATGATATCTGAACGCATGCCGTGAGTATCAACAATTTCAGCTGATACTTCGAATTATTTTCACCACGCAAGTATCAAGAATATGTCAAATATGAGGCCATGCAATGATCACTAACACATTTCCAGAAATTTGAACATGAATAGCTGGATTGCAAACACATGCATGATTTAGACAAGTGAATTTGGATTGAATGGTGTGTGCATCAAAGTTGGACATGCACGTCAATATGCTGGACAGATCTAATTTTGTGTATTAATTTTGTTCTTATTTGGTTACCTTTCATATTTTATATAGTATTGCATTGGACACATGCATCATTACTGGAACACCTTGAAGACCAAAGCACATAAAGATACTAGAACACACACATGTTGGGCATGCACAACCTCCCATGCACTAAAAAAGGGCATACATGCAGAGTGTGCATGAGTCCCTCAAGCGCATAGAGGTACACAAACACACACATAGAGAGATAGAAAGAGAGAGCTTATTAGAAATATCAATAGCTCAAAAGATAAACTTCTGTCAAACTTCTTCGATCACTTGCAATGAAATAATTCATCCATAACAAAGAAAGGTACATATGACATAAGAACTACGATTCAAAAATTTGCCAAGTCTAGCTGAGTCTTACTCAACTGAGTTACTCTGACTGGGAAGCCTGTTGAGACTAGAAGGCCCCCAGCTTATTGGGGGCCTGTACTATAGCAATACTTGCAAATTTTACTGTAGCAAGATGACCATTTCCACATAAACGCATTGAATCTGTGGCTTTTTTGCATAGTGAGGGGGAGGGGGAGGGGGAGGGGGAGGGGGAGGGGAAGGGGCCTAGGGGAGCAGCAGAATATAATCTCCTCTTTCTTCCATTTTCTCCATCAATTGAGCTCAAATACCTTTGAAACTTCACCCCTAGGCTTAGTTTTTATCCTCTACTAGATGCAAACATTTGACTCAGCCAAAAAATAAAAATCTTGGTTTTGAGAGATCTTTCTTTTCAATCTAGGGCTTGGCTGAAGTAGTTTTCTTTCAAGATTTTTGCAACTCTAGCTTGATCCACCCTTAAGATTCTTCCCTAGGCCCATTTTTGTGCTATCTATTGAAGCAAAGGCTTAGATTCCACAAACGAGAAAAGAGAGAAAACACAAATCTGGAACTCGCGAGATTTTGAGTGTCAAAATCATAGATGTTTGGATAGGGAGTGGGAAATGGTACCAGGATTGGGATCGGGCGCAGGGGATCGCGGAATGCTAGAAGATTCCTATGGTTGCGAACATCATATGAACAATGCATATATTAGGGATCAAGATCCCCAAATGTTAGGGATCGAGATTCCAACCTTTTGAGATCTTTATCCCGACCTTTTGAGATCTTGATCCCAATTTTTTTGGGGATCTTGCAATCAAAATTAAAGTGTATGATGGTCTAGGATTACCGATTATGTACGCTCCTTAAAGTAGGATGTAGGGATCTCATTATTTATAGCAACTAAGCCATGCAACCATCTTAACAGTATGGTTGTTGTCTTGGTCTTTAAGGTTGAAAGCGAGATCCCTAACAACATGAATCGAGATACCAAAATTTAAACATCAAGATCCTTGAGAGATCCATTCCGAGAACGACAGAATCGAGATCTTAGAAGGGATCGCCTACCAAAGTAGGAGATGTCAATAACTATGGTTGAAATCAAGCAATATTAAATTTTTTATCTGATTTATGCCAGTAAAATAAAATTTTCATTTTTTGACTTGTATATTGGTTATCTTAATTTTTATGATTTTCCTTATCTTTTTATAATTCCTATTTATTATTTCTCCTTAATTTTTTAGGATTTTTTAGAATTTTATGAGTCCTTGAGTAAGACTCAGCTAGTCCATTCGAGACTCATCAAGCTTAATTGCTCTAGGCACTCTCGAAGACCAAGAGTGAGTCTTGGTCTTAGAAAAATGGGAAGAACGTAAAAAACTCACAGACAATTGTTGTTCCAAATAATTCCATGATGGAGGAGAATGCCTTTCAACCGTCTCTTGACATGCTCGTTGTTAGATAAAGTTCAATTGCATCTAAGTTTCTAAAGCTAGCAATTATAAACCAACAAGGCCTACTCTTCTTATACAATACCGTAATAGTTTCATTCTAAAACACACCCATTCTTAGACAAAGATAAACATTCAACCACAGTGCAGACAGATGATGTAAAAGATCACCAACTAAACATCATAGATCATCAAAAGTGACTCCATATGTACAAATAACAATTTATGAAAGTTACCACTTCCAAATTTAAAACAAAAAGTGTCTTCCATCATTTCAGAATGTTAACTTTCAAAAAATCCAACTACTTTTTGAAACACCCACCACACACACACAGTATCCTATGCTGAAAATTGGAATAATTTTATCAACCCAAAATCAAAAGTTCCTGATCAGGCCAGCTTATAAACAAGACACACTACAATGTTCTACACAAGTCCGACTAGTTTTCACATGCGCATGCATGCACGCATGCACAGAGGAAATCATGTTGATAATTGAAATATTTTTTTACTATAAACCTTATTCCACTTTTCTGATCTCAAAAGCTTCTAAACAAGATACATCAGAAGTCTAAAACAAAGTTTTGCAGAAGAAGCCATAAGAAATAGAAAAGCCAACAACTTTCATCATACACTACAGACCAATAACCACAAAATACACCCATGAAACATAGAACAGCATACTTAGAGCATGAACACACCTGACAGACATATTAGAAAGACACAGACATGTGTCACTAACATCGGTGCCTAAACCTAATGTATTTCTAGCATCTGTCCTCAACAAAAAAAAAAAAAGAACTTAAAAAAGTCATTCAAAAGCCAATAGTCCATAAGACTACTGAGTTTCATCACTCTTTCATTCCATTCTGTTTTATTGCCAAGTCGTGGACAACCCCTGAATCAAAGATTATTACCACAACAATTTTGGGCAGCTTCATTTTCTTAATCATGCACTGAGCGACAGAGTTAACAAGTAATCCTATTTTCACAGAAGTGAAACTAGGAGAAACCAAAACACCTCAATATCACAATGTGAGTAACTAATCATTACGCTATCAACAAGATTATATATTATAGCCTCGTCATTGTCTAAGCCAGTTTCTAAGGGAAGGCAATAACAAAGAGAAGAACTGGATAGACTCAGAATCAAAAACCAGAACTCCAAATAATAAAATTAAACTGAATCCGATAAGGAAAAGATTGGCTGAATAAAATTCTCTCATCAAGGGCCATTTATTCATGGCAGAAACAAAATCATGCATCTGAATTACCCAACAATAACAACAAATAAACCCTAGGTCAAAAGGAGACACCGCATAAAGATCATCAGCAAAAACAAGAGTTCATCTGGTAAAAACTCAAAATAAACCCCAAAACCAGAATGCACACCTGCACTGCATGACGTAGGAGGGTCCTTCTGAAGATCCTTGAGCTCTTTCAGGATCCTCTTCGAAGCCATCGCCAAAAAAACCCAGAGGAATAAAGCCTTACATGGTCAAAACGAATGCAAAAACAGAATCAGAGAATTTAAAGGTCGATCAAAACAAATAACAGAGAAGAACTAATTATGACATACCCTAATGGAAGATGAAGAGCATAGAGAAAAGTAAAGTGGGGGAGAATGGAGAACAGATGATGATGATGGGTGAGAGAGAGAATTTATAGAGAGGGGTCTAGAGGAAGGCGATTGGTTGCTCCGCGAACCCACCGACGCTTAATTTTGACGCACCCTGTCTTTCTCGCGCACACTCCATCAAGTGGTGGTGGGCCCGGCGGCCTTTCTCCCACACGCACACATTCTTGACCGCTCATGCCGTATGCATTTTGATTCGGGTTTTTTTTTTGGTTCAAATTTTTTAAAAGAGAAATCGCTAAAAACCCTCAAATATGAATTTTATAGTTACTTTACCCCAACCTAACTTCTTTTACATATTTTCTCTCAAAATCAATTTTTCTAGTTAATAACCCAAATACAAAAAGTTCACTTTTTTTTACGAAAATACCCTTTTTCGTACCTAATAATAGTTTTCATTGGAAAAGGGCAGTCCGGCATTTAGAAGAGGCGGTCAGGCGATTTGAACTAGCAGTCTAGCGTCTTAAAATAGCAGCTTGGCATTTCATTATGATGGTCCGACGATTATGCAGTTCGACATTTTAAAATAGCGTTCCAGCATTTGAAGGGGCAATCCGGCATTTTGAAGTGACGATGCGGCATTTCAAAGGGCAGTCCGACGTTTTAAAGTGGCGGTCGGACGTTTTGAAATGAGCAATCTGACATTGTACAAGTGTAGTCTAGTGTTTCCTTATATTGGGATCCAAAAATGATTTATTTTGTACGAGAAGGGCATTTTCATAAATAAATAAATAAATAAAAAAACTTTTTGTATGAACTTTTTGTATTGGGGATATTAGCTAGAAAAGTTTGTTTTGGGGAAAAATATGTTCAAAAAAGTTAAGTTGGGGTAAAGTGCCTAGAAAGTTCATAGTTGAGGGCTTTTAGTAATTTTCCCTTTTTTAAAAGCAACACCTACCAATACACATAAATCTATGCAGTGTTGTACTATATGTTTGTAAATAAAGCAAGGACCACTCCAAGAAAAGCAAGGAAATATAGGGTTTGTACGTAATAGTGCATTGGGGAAAATATGTGTTTGTGAATGGAGGATGAGCTATAGGTCGGGATTGTGGAGGGCGGTCCCATAGGCTTGGGCACGGACTAAGCCCGAATTCTCTATATTATGCTCAATTCAAGCCCGACTCGCATGTACCTAGAAGTAGGGCTATGAATGGGTTTGTTTTAGGTCTAGGTTGACCTAGACTTCTCAAGGTTAGTGAACTTGGACCCAAGTTGTGGGTTTAGAAGTCTCTATATTAGGCTCCATTTTGAGCTCAGTTGCATCTGCTTAGGAGTAGCATTGTAAATGGGTTAGTTTTAGGTTTGGTTGAGCTGCGCTTGTCTAAGTTAGTCAGATCTAAACTTGAGCTGCGGGACCAATTGGGTCAGGTTCAAGTATAGTCATGCCTAATCTCACTTTGATCCAACTTGTATAGGTCTGAGTGAGACTTGGACCTAGAGGAAGATACAATCAAGTCGGGATTTAGAGAGTAATGCTGGTGTCATGGTCATTCAAGGCGTTGAGTTTGCTGTTCATTATAGGTCTTGGTCATAGTGGGAGTTCTATGGAACGCTACACTTACCAGATTTTAGTGAATTGGTATCTGGCAGTGTTTCAAAAATGCTAGGTGGCCGAGGGGTTTAGGCCACCCAGCGTCGGAGCAAGTGCCCAAAACCTGTCCGGCCTAGTAGAAAGAAAAATATCTCTATAGTCTAACTCTATGGGCCTGTTTGATAACTGGAAGCAAGTTCATGAACTGTAAGTTGGAAGTTCCTGAAGAACTATAAATTAGAAGTTACTTAAGAAGTTCATGGTTTCTGTGTTTGATAACCTCCCTGGGAAGTTAAGAAAATCATAGTTTTTTTGTTTGATAACTCCTGAGATATATGGTAAATATATTATATTTATATTTACATTGGTAATAGTTTAAATATAAATATATAATGTTTATAACATACTATAATATATTATATACTGTATTTTATATTTATTTTTAATATCTATATATATGTGAAAATATCTTATATTACATAAATATATAATATATAAATATATATTTTATATAATATGTATAATATAGTATAATATATAATATAATGTATTTTATATTTATTTTATTATATAATATAATATATATTATATAATAAAATATATTATATTACATAAATTTATAATATATATAACATAATAATGTACTTTTTATTTATTTTATTATTATATATTTACATAAAATAATATAGTATATTGTACATTGTATTTTATATTTATTCTATTAATATATATTTTTATTATATAATATTATAAATATCTATTATATTTTATAATATTTATAACATACTATAATATATAATATATTGTATTTTATATTTATTTTTAATATATGTATATAGGAAAGTGTCTTATATTACATAAATATATAATATATAAATATATATTTTATATAATATATATAACATAGTATAATATTTTGTATATTTTATATTTATTTTATTATATAATAGATATTATATATTATATAATGAAATATATTATATTACATAAATTTATAATATATATAACATAATAATGTATTTTTATTTATTTTATTATATAATATATAATAAAATATATTATATTACATAAATTTATAATATATATAACATAATAATATATTTTTTATTTATTTTATTATTATATATTGACATAAAATAATATAGTATATTGTACATTGTATTTTCTATTTATATATATATATTTATATATTTATATAAAATAATATAATATATTATACATTGTATATATTTTTATTATATAATATTATAAATTATATAAACTATAATATATAACAAAGTATATTATATATGATACAATGAATAATATTTTACATTATACAATAAAATATATACATTTTATATATGGAGGGGGGGGGGGGGCGGGGCGGGGGGTAGGGGGGTTCATAAAAAAAAAAGTTCCAAGTTTAAGTTCCAACCCTTGGGTTGGAACTTTTTGTTTAAAGCAAGATTGGAACTTTAACAGTTCCTTGAAGTTTTGTTTGAAGTTCAATTTTTTTATCAAACACGAAACTTGAACAGTATTAAGGCACATCAAATATATAATACACAAGTCCATATAGCACACACTCCTCCATAAGTCCATAGTTTGATAGTTTACTTATTCTAATATCAATGGGTGATGCGTAGATCAGTTTCTCGTAACTTTGAGAAACCCTTTGATGGGCAAGGCTCCCCTCATCAGTATGAGTTGCTGATAACCATACTGACTTAGATTAGTCTCAATGCATGACTAAGAATAACCATTTAAAGACATACAACGAAACATTCAATGGATGATACTGAAGGATCAAGAATGAGTATGGTTCTTAATTGTTCAAGTGTGCTATACTTCAAGCATGGCTTAGTCTATGAATTTTGAGATTCAGCGAAGATTCTCGAAGCGGCAGTCTGAAGCTGCCAAGAGACAACCTCAATGCAGTCTTAAGCTACCCAGAGATGGCTTAACCCATCTCAGCCTCAATGGCAGTCTCAAGCTGCCTAGAGATGGCTTAACTAATCTCAACTTCGATGACAGTCTCAAGCTACCCAGAGATGGCTTAACCCATCTCAGTCTCAACGGCAGTCTCAAGCTGCCCAAAGATGGCTTAACCCATCTTAGCCTCAACGACAGTCTCAAGCTGGCCATAGATGACTCAACCCATCTCAGTCTCAACTGCAGTCTCAAGTTGCCCAAAGATGGTTTAATCCATCTCACTCTCAACACCAGCCTCAAACTGCCCGGAGATGGCTTAAACCCATCTCAGTCAACATAAGCCTCGAACCGCCAGATGATGGCTTAACCCATCGTCAGCATCATTGTCCAGCAGTTAAAGCCTTAAAATCTTTACGGATCGTGCGACAAATTAGTGATCGCAAAAGGGGAACTGTTTCTTCAGAGCAAGGAATTCTCTCGTAAGATCAACACCGTTGAACCCTCTGCTCCTTGCTCTATCACCCTTAAAAGGTGTAGCATGGATTGAGTTGAACAACGGAAGTGGTTGCAACCCATTGACAATTCTGGCGAATCTCTTATTTTGCTCTTGTAAGATCATGAGGTTCGAAAGTTTGAAATTCAAAAAAATGTGTGATTGATTGTATAGGCGAAAACAACCAAGTACTGAGATCAACAACGTGAAAAGGTAAACACAAGAAGTAAGTAACATTACGAAGATAATGATTACGCCCTGCAAGATCTGTGATTCAAATGAGTGGATAAATTCAGAATGAAGATGGAGGGTGAAGATTCGAAGATGAGAAATGTGTGGTTATCCCTTGAACAAACACAATTTAGCACTATAAAAAGGAGACCTCTAGATAGAAGAGAGGTCACACTTTTCTGATAGACACACTCTGGTCGAGATAAAGTGTTCTTCAGAGGTTTTATCTCGGTAATAACCAAGAGTGATATTCAAGACATGAAGAGAGATATAATTGTTTTCCTATGACTCGGGAAGACCAGACTCGAAGGATAACACATCCCTGCGTATATCTACAGGTATATGGGCCGATATGCCCTTTCATTTTTTCCCTTTAATTTTAGCCTTGAATGCGTATATCAAACCTTTCATTTTTTCCCTTTCAGGTATATGGGCCGATATTTCTTCTTTAGAAATGAATGTACTGATTTCGAAGCCAAAATGAAAGGTTTTCGGCTTATTTTCTTTTCTTAAGTCGATGTAAACTGTAACAGAGGATTAAACCTCTAGAATTCCTCAGTGCTCAATGTAAATATAAATCCTATGTTTCTGATATGAAGTGCATGGGTGAATTTAGCCCCAAATGTGATGTCCTCTGGTTTTTTTTTTGGAGTCCAATGTTTGTCTAAACAATATATTTCGTAACACATCCACATTTTCGAGCGACCAATTTTTTTACGAATCCAATGGGGAGTAATTCACCTTTCATTTCTGGTAGAGTCTAGGAAGTCGAATCTCTCTTTGAATATGTCTTGATTCATGATCTTTTCCACACTACTCTCTTGTCTTCTTTATTTACCTTGACGAGCGAACCACTGCATTAATCACAAGTCGTTAGAGGTA